CAATCGTAAAATAGTTTTCGAAACACAATTCAGATTTCTGCTTTATAATCTGAGCCTTCTAAGAATTGCAAGGCAAACAGACGTTGATAAAAGATGTTAAAAGAGACATGGAGAATCTAAAATTTGCATTCCACGACATGTCTTTTACAACTAAGCAGAAATCCTTAGCGAATTGTGTTTCTTTTACTCCCACAGAGTAAATCCGAATAAAATGAGAAAAGGCAGCAAATATTTGATTTCACGCAAACAAATCCTATGTATCTCTTGATACGTATTTCGACTTAATAGGTCTCGTCAGAAGAGCTATTCAACGTCAAAAATCAATATTTTCTGCCTTTTAAGAAGCAACAATAGCAACAGAAATCTGAATTGTGTTTCGAAAACTATTTTACGATTGTTTAATTATTAAACAGTTTTCTGTCACTTAGTATATTACAGTTGATGACACTTAGATTTTTGTGCTCTTCTGTCACGCCGTTTTAACCCGGGATCCGTCGCGCTGTTGATGCGAAATTTGGCAACATAACTTTTCACTGGTAAGTGCCTCGAGGATGAGTGTAATAATGCGCATGTCCAAGGATACAAGACAGCGTAAATAAATATGAGTAGAATTGACTTTAACGCACGATCAAGCATGTCATCTTTTCTGTTAGATAAAATCTAACAACGCAGCTGAAAACGTAGGTCAACATTTTCACGTCTAATTTTCTAATACATATTGTGTCTTTTTGTATGAGTCTCAAATTATGTAAGAAGGGTCATCTGACCTCATTATGTGGCTAGTTTCAATTGCTTTATAAACATTTTTCACTGATGATGATCTGATAGGATCGAAAACTTTCTGAAAATTTATAAATTCATTTTGGATAGTTTTTAAAATTTTTATAAGAAGTTTTATACCATTTTACAAAGAGAAGTTTTTACTTCATTGTAAGTTTTTTTACTCTAATAAATGTATTATACCATCCTGTGTTCCAAAGAAAAATAAGTACGTTCTTCTTCTTTTCACCTACCATGGCGATGGTTCAATTGAACCTGAAACACATGATACAAACAAACCATACATAATTTCCTTCTACAATGACACAAAAGGAGGGGTCGACGTAGTGGATTGGTTTAAAGCGGAATATTCAGTAACTAGGGAAAGTAATAGATGTCCGTTTACAATACTTTGTTTAGAAAATATATTGCAGACTTGTCTCGGAGTCTTTAGATACCTCATATAGAAAAAAGGGCTTCAATCATAATATATGTACATATTGCCTTACGCCAAAAGATAAGCAAAATTATAGAAAAAAAGTCCACCATCCCGCAAATAAATCCCTTCTCTAAATACGCAGAAACCTCGTTGACAGTATGGACTACCTAAGCTCTGACGTCACAATGGGCGGGAATTTTAAAAACCTTTCCAAACATTTCTAATTTGTGTGTTTTGTCCCATAAGAAGTTTTTTTAACTATTTATGTTTTATGAAGAACTATTGGTTTTATTAATTGTTTGAAGAATAAATAAGAACTTTTGGTTATGAAAAGTAATTATGTGCCATTGGTATTATTTGTCGTTCCTGAATTTGTGAGGTAAATAAAAAAATATTTAAATTAATGTTTTATTCTTTTTTAAATGCTATTGATTTTATCACCTAATATACTAAATATATTCGTTTTCTCGTAGTTTAACTAGTTAAAAGTGGTTTTGTTGTCATTACTCAAAAATTCAGTAATCCTGGATATCTTCAACACATGTTTATTAACCATTATATGCCTAGATCTAAAAAATAAACTCAAAAACTATTAAAATATTTAAAAAACATTTTTTTAAACACTCATTATGGCAATTTGATAGAAACATTTCCACATAATGTTATAATATAACTTAAACTACGAGAAAACCAATATATTTAGTCTTTTACAGGAGAAAATCACTGGCAACGAAAAAAGAATAAAACACTAATTTAACTATTTTTCAACTTCGTAAATAAATTCAATGATTTATTGATTTATTTTGAAATAATCCTAATAATAATTACAATAAAATACCTTGAAATACAGTAAAAAAATAATTAAATTTTAATCAAATAATAACATAACCTTAAAATATAAACATGCATAGTAAATATCTTAATACTTTGAGATTCTTACCTCACAAATTCACGAACAACAAATAATACTAATCGCACAGAATGAGGGTTCATAACCAAAAGTCCCTACTTCTTCTTCAAACAGTTTAAAAAACCAATGTTTCCAACTTCTTATGGGACAAATACACACAAATTAGAAAAGTATGTAAGGTTCTAAAAAAACCCACCCATTGTGACGTCAGACTTAAGTAGTCCACTGTCCGATAAGAAAAAACAGGTTCACGCAGCATACCTATTCGACTTGCAGGAACGTCATCTGCAAGGAACATACGTCCACTACAACGTACATAGGGTCATATTCGAACATCGAACTATTTTTCTAAATCGTTTTCGTGTCCCGCCGTCAAAGTAGATGGCACCTCAGAAAAGTTTAAGTAGCACATTGTGATACAATTCATTTGTCTATCTATTGGCGTCCTTCACATATATGACGCCGTAGGCATTTTTTCTTAAACGACAATATATACCATGTATGTGATTTCATCTCTGTTGTTTATAAGACGTTTCCACATTGGCCCTGCAGTTCTTTTAATATCGTCGCTTCATCGCATTTGCGGTCTTCCTCGTAGTCTTTTGGCTTCATATGGCCGCCAATTCCCGATATCTTTATTCCATCGGCCCTCAGTAAGATTTCCAGATTTCCGTTCGTTATGTTCTGCTCATTTCCATTTCATTTTAGCTGCCTGTTCGACAGCATCTTTTACGTTTGTTCTAAAACGAATGTGTTCATTGGTTTTATGGTCTTTGAGTGAGATACCCAGCATCTGTCGTTCCATGGCTCTCTGAGTTTTTCTGATCTTCTCCATGTTTATTTTAGTGAATGTCCAGGTTTGAGCTCAATATGTAAGCACAGGTAAGATACAGGAATTAAACACTTTGGTTCGCAGTCTGAGGTATATTTTTATTTTTAAGTACGTATGAGAGTCTTCCGAATGCTGCCCATCCCATTTTTACACGTCTACTTTTTTCGGTAGTCTGATTTTATTTGCTTACCTTGACATTTTGACCTAGATATGTATATTCATCTACGTGTTATATCTCTGTCCCTTCGATATTAATCATAGGTTTGTCATCTTTGTTTGACATTAGTTTTACATAATGAATACATTATCTGGAATTTCTCGTTGGAAAATTAATACTACTAGCAGTAAATTTTACGTTTTAAATTTTTGTCTATATAACCTTCATAGTACTTGTCAATGTTATTAACTTCGCTTAAGCATTTTTAGTTAATAATTTATTTGCAATGTCAATCCGTATTGATATTTAAATCTTTCTAATATTAGTACATTTCAAATACTGTAATAAAACTAGCAATCAAATATAAACATTTTCCATTTCTTAGAATTCTTTTTATCGCTTAAAATTATTACCCTATATTTATCATTCCAAATTTCAAGCACACATACGTGGCTATCAAAATTATTCATAAGTGCATGGAAAATTTTGTTTTGATTAATTGATTCCGTGATTAATTGATAGTACCGGTTTAAATTTGATAAAAGCTTGTCTTGCTTGTTCGGTACGGCATTTTATTTCTTGTTGAGGATTCCATTGGTCATTCATCATCATTCCCAAGTATTTAAATGTTTCCACTTGATCGATTTGTGACCTCATTTGTGACCCGGTCAGTCCAGGGGATCTTAAGTATTCTCCCATATAGCCCTATCTCAATCTTCTGCACATATCGTCATGGGACCTTCCCATTGGTTATTTAGATCACGGGGCCGATAAACCCGGCATTAAAAGAGATACAGGGACTGCTTTTCGTCAATTTTCTCAATGCATGTTTTCGTAATGCACTGGGGGAACGGGCCTTGATTGCAACAGTCAGACTATTTGTATTATATGTCTATGGTTTGAATAAGTATGCTAGTTAGGTTATGATATATTTGTGTTTGTTTGAATTAGTGTGTGGGAATAACTATCCTCCCGACAAAATATTATTTTGACAGCCCACTCAAATTACGAAATTTGTCGAAGGGTTGATATTAAACCCTTATTTGTATGGTAAAAATATTTAAAAAAAAGTATTTTAACTTTATTGATAACACTCAAGAAATAAGCCTTGATATATATATATATATATATATATATATATATATATATATATATATATATATATATATATATATATATGTATTCTTCTCCTGAAACATCAAGACGAAGCAGAACTAATCTGACTTGACAATGGCAAGTGTGACCTTGCCGAAACGTCAAAACAATGGTTTTTCTAAAAACCAAAATTATTTAACGCGGAGTCAAACCCGGAAAACAACTGAAATTATATATACTACGGAAAATTACTATTAGAATATCGCAAATATACGAATTCTTAAAGATCATGTATTTACAAAGTGATAAAAATTGTATAATTGTTTAATGGCACTCGCATATTTAATGCCTTGTTGCACCAATATATCTTAAGCTTAAGACATGCCATAAGCCATTGAGTCATATAAGACTCTTTTCGTCACTCAATCATTGACAAGTTACATGTCAGTTAAGACGTGCTTAGATAAGAATCGAAAATTATGGTGCAACGTAAATGAGAGTTACGGTGGTCCTAGCTATAAGCGGAGCTGGGCTAAGCTGGAGCTTTAGATCTGTTGGTGCAACCAGGCATAACCTTTCTGAGACTTCACGTAATGCTTTAGGTTTCGAATACGGGACGTTTCCAGTTAAGAACTCTAAAGCGTTTATTAAAGCGATAGCAGTTATTGTTTATTGGAAATAATGACACGTTCATGAATATTCATCGAAGTTATCCTACTGTATTTTCTTGATGTGTATTTTTAATAGTCTAAAATGTATATATTAATACATCTTTTATATCTTAATAAACATAATTTTTCATTTTCAGTCATCGCATTGTGGACCAGCGCTTTTTAGCGATGAGTTGGAAGCCCATAGGATTAGAGAAGCATGCGATTATGCTCAAAAAATTACATACGAAATGGCGAAGTGCGGGAGATCCCCTAGGCGAATAAGAGTCTATGCTGACGGTATTTATGATTTGTTCCATCAAGGCCACGCTAGGCAGCTAATGCAGGCTAAAAACGTTTTTCCTAATGTCTATCTAATTGTTGGCGGTAAGTTAGAATTAGTTTCAAATAATATAAATAAACTGTTTCCTTGTTATAATTTCTCAGGTTTTATTAAATCTGGAAATTGCCTCCCGTCTTGAAATCTAAACTTTAAATAAAGCATTTGTTTTATAATTTATGATTTATTGTTAGCGAAATATTTAATAAATACTAATAATAATACTAATAAATACTAGCTATAGCTAAATCAAGCTCTTATTAGACTCTTTTTTCATACACATAGTTATGGTAATAGTCCATTTGGACAAAAAATAATAAATGCGTTACCAAAATGGGTTGAATATGACTACAAAATTTTTTAACTGATAAGAAAAATACTAAGGTCCTCTAATTTTCTTAAGACTGCGGGTTTATTTGTTTATACCACAATAACACCAGTGAAAAAATTAAGCTCTGTACCAAGTGCGACCTTAGTGTTGATTTATTTTAACTCCAAACCTATCGTTCATAGACAAAATCATATTATCAATATTGTATATAATATAATAAGTCATTATCAGTCTTAGTAGAAGAGATAGTATAGTTGTTCCAGAAAAACACCAATTATTTTTTTGTAATTAGACACGATCATTTATGAAACAACAGTTGAATTTAAAATGTAATTTTAAATTTACTATAGAGCGATTTAAAAAAATTCCACATTTTATTATATGTATACATTATTTCACATTTTTACTTCGTCAACTTTTATATTTTTCGTCAACATGGCTTCAATATGGACGCAATAGCGACATCTAATTACAACAATCGTAAAATAGTTTCGAAACACAATTCAGATTTCTGCTTTATAATCTGAGCCTTCTAAAAATTGCAAGGCAAACGGACGTTGATAAAAGATGTTAAAAGAGACATGGGGAATCTAAAATTTGCATTCCATGTCTTTTACAACTAAGCAGAAATCCTTAGCGAATTGTGCTTCCAGTACTCACACAGAGTAAATCCGAATAAAATGAAGAAAGGCAGCAAATATTTGATTTCACGCAAACAAATCCTATGTATCTCTTGATACGTATTTCGACCTAATAGGTCTCGTCAGAAGTGCTATTCATAGGAGTCCTCAACGTGAAAAATCAATATTTTCTGCCTTTCTATATCCTTTTTCTATTTAGTATTTCTCAATGTGGATTACGAGTAACACACTGATCTTTTTTCGTTGCAAAAGACGATATTAAACTCAGTACTGACTTGCTGGCTGCCTTATTACATGGGTGATTCTCTAACATCCATTCATTATACAGTGAATACAATTTGGGAAACTTTAAAGTCTCATTAGAATACATCTTAGTTATTCGTTGCCTTACGTAGTGGCATTCTTTTGCTGGAATAGAGTTTATAATGCGCACGAATGGAATTTTTAATATTTCTGTCTAAAGCATTTGCTCTGTTCTTATGGCGACTATGCATATCTCCATGTATTCGCCCTCCACCTTCGTGACTATTAATTTTTTTGAATAGCCTAGTTAACCATATATCTGTTATGTTAAAAGTGTCGAAACGATTTTTCTTACAAATTTGGAGTTGGTGTTCTGCTAACTGCAAAGTATATTCACATGTCTAGTTTCTTCAGGGCTCTTTTAACTATGCAACCTTTCTCTTTTGTCTCAGAACATGTCTACATAAATATTCGCTCTGTTTGTCATGATCAGCCATTGTCCAAGAATTATTAATTTAATTAAGTCAGTAAAATTTTCATATAATTTCAATTTACAATTTCCGTTCCATTTATCGTTACATCCAGGTCCCAATTTTCTCATTTTCGTTAATTTCACAGTTTTACTAGTATATTCTTTTGCATCAACGTATAAATTGCTTAGTATTCTGCAGGTTAAAATGAAATTTTTTCGTGCTTAATTTAATGCTTAGTTGTATCGGATTATTGAAATAAAGTCTAATCTTTTTTCTTCTTTTTTTATTTGATAAATGGTATTGAACTTGTTTAGCTGACAAAAATATAAAGACTAATACGATATAATTAGAACAATCATCTAAATTCATTTTAATTAATTTTATGATATAAAAATATCCGTAGACTTTTCCGATTTGATATCCTTCATTGTCAAATAACACTAGTGATAAAATAATCGAGTTATGTACTGGAAAGTATATCTAGTTAAAATATATATTGTCTATATATTGTTAAAAGGTTTCTGAAATGGTTTTCTTGTGTCATGTTTAAGTTAAATATGTTTATTTGGGATTAAGCCAGGGTTGATTGTAACGAAAATTACACTTGTAGGCAAATAGCCATGCTACTAGTTGAAAATTATGCGGTTTGTGTTTTGTATCCTCAGGATGATATTATATTCTGATTGTTTTGTGTGTTTATGTATTGTGTGCTGTACATGCATTATGTTCTAACTTCTTCTTTTAATATTGGCAACCAGAGCCTTCTACATTCTGCTGAATGGGTTTTGCTACACACTAAGTAAGATACGAGCTACTTCTTTGATTTTTCTCTTTTTACATTAGTTTCTTTCATGACTATTGATGCATCTTTTCATTGTACTCTGTGCTCATTGTTCCAGGCATATTTACATAACTGTGATTTGTCGAAGTTTCTCTTTTTGATGTATTATGTTTCATGTTCGTTTATCCTGATACTTAGTGGTCTTGCGGTTTCTCCCGCAAGACCGCATTGTCAGATGGTATTATATAGAGGGTATATATATATATATATATATATATATATATATATATATATATAATATATAGTATTTTATAGATATTTTATATAATAATAATAATAATACAGTTTATTTATAACAAAGTAATGTGTTACAGTATAAATTTACATATTTTATACAATAAATAAACCCATTTACTCACAGAAGTTGTGTGTCACATGGACTACAACTTGTACGTGAGGGTTGATTTTTTTTTTTTTTAACATATTCGTACAAATTACAATTGTAAAAATTCTTACTAGTAACATACAAACTGTTTAATACACATAACATACATAACATAAAATTTAAAAATATAACATTTATTTGAAATTGAAGCTCATTAATAGCTGTTTATTAATTCATACAATTTATATCTATTACCATGGATCCATTGTTTTAATTTTTTTTTTAAATTTTTTATAGTTGTTTATAATTTTGATGTTAGATGGTAAGCAATTAAACATTTTTGGACCCAAAAAATCAATGCAACGTTGGCCAATGGTTTTTCCTTTTTTTGGTACTAATATCGTTAAGTTTCTATTTCTGGTTTGATATGTATGGTGGGTAAAATTCAGAAATGATTTCTCATTCTGTAAATATAATAATGCTTTGTAGGAGTACAACTGGTTTAAATCCATGAAATGACTGTCTGTGAATAATTGCTCCACTGAAGATCTTATACCCCTTCTATATATTATTCTTATTATCGAATTTTGTATAACGTTTAGATTTTTAATGTGAGCATTGTAGGCTCCACCCCATGCAATAATCCCATAGGTTAATTGTGATTGTACCAGAGAATAGTATAAAATCTTCAAGTGGTGAACATCTAAGAAGTCGCGAAGATATTTGAATTTTGAGAGTAAACCTCTTATTTTTTGGACTACATATTTAATATGATGATCCCATTTTAGGTGTCTGTCTATTACAATACCAAGGTACTTAATCTTTTCTGCTTCTGGAATTGTTGTATCGTTGTCAATTTCAAGTTGGTTGAAGTTTGGTAACCCAGTGGTGTATGACGAAAATGGCAAGTATTTAGTTTTTTCAATATTTATTGTTAATTGGTTATGTTGAAACCATTTTTTTATTTTTACAAAGTCCATTTCGACATTTTCCTTTAACTTTTTCCAATTATTGTTGCTATAAAAAATGGCTGTATCGTCAGCGAAACTTATGATCTGGCCTGAAGTCTGTAATTTAAGTAATGTGTTTATATACATAGTAAATAACATCGGCCCCAACACCGTTCCTTGTGGGACTCCGTAAGTCACAGTTCTGGTCATGCTGATTTTACCACCTACAGTTACCTTTTGCTGTCTGTCACTTAAGTAGCTCTCTAACAATTTGAAGGCCACACCTCTGATTCCGTAATTTTTTAGTTTGTGTAACAGTATTTTGTGGTTTACAGTATCAAATGCTTTAGAGAGATCTACAAATATACATAAGGAAGCTTTTTTATTATCTAAAGAATTATAAATATTTTTTACTAATTTACCAATTGCATCTTCTGTAGACCTTCCCTCTCTAAAGCCATATTGACTTTCAGATAATATATTATGTTTATTTAAAAAATTATTTAGACGAGACTTTATAATTTTTTCTATTACTTTACTGAGATTCGAAGTCAAGCTTATTGGTCTATAGTTTCCAAGTTCACTACGATCTCCACCTTTAAAAAGCGGTTTAATGATACCTGTTTTTGATACATTGGGAAATATACCTAATCTGAAACATTTATTGATTATATAAGTCAGTGGTTTAGCAATTTGTTCTGCAACTTCTTTTAACAATTCTGATCTGAGGGTATCTATACCTGGCGATTTTTTATTTTTTAGTGTATGTATAGTTTTAATGACTTCATCTTCATTTGTTGGAAATAAATATATGCTATTTTTTACATAATCAATGTCTTCAACATAATTGAGAGGTGTATCAATTTTCTCAGCATATTTTTTCCCAAATCATTGAAATAGTTATTAAATAGATCTGCAATTTGTCCATGATCTGTTATTAAATTATCATCTGTCTTTATCTGCTCAATTTCTGTTTTAATTACTGTTGAACCACACAATTCTTTGACACATGTCCAAAGAGCCATTGAAGTGCAAGTATTTTTATCAATTAAGTCATTAAAATATTTCTTTTTTGCTTTTGTTAATAATCTGCTGAGATAATTTTTGGATAATTTATATTCGTTACTGATATTTATGTCACTGGGGTGTTTTTTAGATTTTTTATACAAATTATTTTTTTCTTCAATAGCTTTTAATAATTCTAAATTGATCCAAGGCTTTTTATTTTTTGATTTTTTTCGAA